TCGTCGTATAGCATTCTGACAGGTTCAAATCCCTTTCGAACTACAAGCAGAAAGGTTTTTTTTTTTTTCTTCTAAAAGCTGGCTATCTTTATTTTAAAGTCTGGCTTTCAGCACAAGAGAAGCAAGGAGACAGACAGAGACAGAGTAAATGGATGAGTAACACATTATTTGAAGTCAATGGCAGCAATCAAGGGTAAGCCACACAAAAAGACGACAGGAAGCAGTTGAAAAGTCCTCATCACTTTTCTTCCCCCTTTTCTCCTTCTACAAGTTACCCTTCTTCACCTGTATTGCAAAAATAAAGCTGTATGAACTCAAGAGATGTTAGAAAAGCATCTGTGCTTTCATTGTATTAAATGTTGGCCTGAGAAAGCCTTTGGAAATGACATGATTGATACTATGTAACTTAGAAAGAATATCAAACATTGTTTTAGAACTCTAATATGCATATTGATGTACAATCAAAGTGGCTTTCTAGAAAAGATAATTAAAGTTGTCGGAGATTTTTGATCCTTCCTTTTCTACTGTCATCAGAGCTAACACTTAGTCTGGATCTATTTGGTGCGTATTTTGTCCTTTCCTACTGTGGAGGATATTAATTTACCAGGTCATTAGATTTTCAGACTCCTGTTATCAACTGTTTGGGACTCAAAGTGATCTTGGAGAACAGATATAATTGTTTAGGTGCCGTTCTAACTCATCTTCCTTGCTACTTGCTCACAAGTACTCTGGCGTAAAAACACTTCCTATGTAATTTAGATTTACATAATCCTTTGGACAAAATAAAAATTCAGTTTTTTTATAGTTTAATTAGTATAGTAATCATACTCCCAAGTCTATGTCACAATTATTAGATGATGAGTTTCAGGAAAAACTATATATATTTTTGTCCCATGAGTAATTTAAAAATGTAAAGATACCCTCACTTGTGAGGTACCATGCTCTAATTAAGCTTTTCAGTCATTCAAAATTTCAATTATTTTATCTTTTGATTGTCAATGTTTTAAAAGATTTATTTATTTACTTGAAAGAGTTACACAGAGAGAGAAGGAGAGGTAGAGAGAGAGAGAGAGAGGTCTTCCACCCACTGGTTCACTCCCCAGTTGGCCGCAAAGGCCAGAGCTGCACCGATCCGAAGCCAGGAGCCAGGAGCTTCTTCCAGATTTCCCACACGGGTGCAGGGTCCCAAGGACTTGGGTCATCCTCCACTGCTTTCCCAGGCTATAGCAAAGAGCTGGATCACAAGTGGAGCAGCCGGGACTTGAACCGGCGCCTTTATGGGATGCCGGCACTAAAGGCAGCGGCTTTACCCGTTACGCCACAGCACAGGCCCCATCAATGTTTTTAAAAGTAATATTTATTTGAAAGGCAGACAGTTACATAGAGACTACTCGGACTATCTTTCACTGCTTTACCAGGTGCATTAGTAGAGAGCTGGATCAGAAGTGGATCAGCCAGGACTCAAACAGGTGCTCACATGGGATGCTGGTTTCACAGGTAGTGGCTTAACCCACTGCACTGCAATGCCAGTTACTCCCTTTTTTGTTTTGGTTAAAGATTTATTTATTTGAAATTCAAGAGTTATAGGGAGAGTGTCAATGTTTTTAAACTTGTCAAATTTGCTTGAGACAAACAAATACTCATTAAATTATTATATGAAAATAAGAACGTTTCTTATTTTTGATGAGTCGGCTTGACTTGTTGAATAAGCAGGGCAAATAGAGAGGAGGATCCATATGGTTTCAAGCTAATGGTAATAATCAAACACCAAATGCCAGTTTGTAGTAAGCACACAGAGCCATAAGAAAATGTATTAATACTAGAGTACTCAAATCAGTTCTAAAAAGATCAGATCAGCAGTATTATCATTGGCGGGCACAAATGCCAACTCACCTTCGACTCTCCTGCAATTAGAAGTTAAGCAAACATTTGAAGTGAACATTTCTAAGAGAATTCGGCTTTGAAAACAAGGGCATGGAGACAAGGATAGGAAAGCATCCGAGATTGCTACCAGAGTATCTTCCGATCTGGATAAAAGGGTGAGTTGGAAGATGACCTGGAGAAATGACACCCAACCTCTCCATTTCACAAGCCCATCCTGTTACTACTCTTTATTAGGTTTGATTAAGCCAAATTTTTCAGTGAAACTGGGAAGACTATCCCAAACTAAAGTTTTGAGGGGAGTTTTTCCTAAATGGTAACATACTCGATCTGATTTCAAGTATGGAAGTCCCTAGAGTAGGCTCAGCCTGTTTCTAAACAGTTTTGAGTGCCACATACAGATTAACAAACAGCAGTGAAGCAAAAAAATAAAAAAAAAAACATGAAAAATAAAAATAAAACACAGATTTTTTTTCACATTCTTCTAACAAGCTCAATTAGAGCGGGATATCATTTTTGTCTGGCTCTCAATGTGTTCGTAACACGCAGCGAGGGATACTTAGGTTTAAATTCATGGGTCTTTCTCAGGAGAAGAAGCAATTTAAAAGAATTTTCAAAAAGCCTTTATGGATTGCCTGAGGTAGTGTCTTTGGCAATATGTATGAATATCATTCATACTCGTAAGGAGAAATTTCTCTTCACCAAGTCACGAAAGTACTATTAGCACCAAATTCAATGTCTTGTTTTTAGACTTTATGTTACTGAGTACTTCTGTAGCATCTGACAACAGCCACTATTTACATCCTTCTGAAACTCTCGTCTCTTTCAGCTACCCTAATGCCTCTGGATCTTGTATTTCCCTGCGTTTCTTTTCCATTCTATTCATTGGTGCCTTATCTTCCATTCATTATATAAATATTGGTGTTCTACTTAATTCAGGTTGCCCTCTCATTTCTTCTCATGGCATATACCCCACATTAGGGAGTCCAAGTACTAAAGGATTGTTTTGGTACACAAGGGGTCTTCCAAGAGTCGATGGAAAATGTGCATTATCTTTCAATTAAATTTTCTATGAACTTTTTGAAGTGCCTTAGTATATAAGGACAAGAATAATAACACACTATTCCCTGTTTTTATTTTGTGATGCCTTACCCTATCTTGAAAACTTTTATGATACACTTGGCAAAAAAAGGGATAAATATAGTTTTGCTGTTTGTGTAGATTTTCGCAATCAATCCAGTGTTCACCAGAAATGTAACAGATAGTGAATTGTTTATATTGCATTCTTGATAAAATTTAGCACATTTGAGACTGAGAAATTATATATTCTCACTACAGAGAGCTATAAACTCTTCTATAATGAAACTCTTCTATAGTAAAAGAGATAAATATTCTGGAGTCATAACTGAACAGAGAAAATGTTTGATCATCTGAGTAAGCAAGTATATAGTAGAATAGAATAAAATACTATGATCCCTAGACAAAAATGTTAGAACTGTAGAATTATGGGGAAAATGCTTAAGTTTGTAATTTCCTCTTTTTAATGAAGAAAATGCATAAAACTTGATACTGAAAAGATGTGTTTCTTTTAGTTTTTTAAAAATTTCCTTCCTTGAGAAAATAAAAACAATAGAAAATGGGCTAACATTTGAGTTGAGCTGGCCTTAGGAGTATAAAAGACAAGTAGAAATAATATCCTTCAGGTAATGAATAGATCGACAGAATACTGTAAACAAAGCAAAAAAGGCACGCACGTAGGCAAAAATGCTCCACAAATGATTGAGGCTCATCACACTGAAAAACTACCAAAGTACACGTCCTATTTGTTTAGATGATGTCTTCTATTAGGAATCAAATTCTTGGCTTTCCTGACTCTACAAAGCACTTAATTTGGCCGATATATGATTTATGAGAAGACACTAATAATCATATATTATAATGAAACAATGGTTGCAGATAGGGAAAGATAAAAGGGACTTTAAAATAATACACTTCAGGGGCCAGCATCGTGGCATAGCAGGTAAAGCTGCTGCCAACAATGCCAGCACCCTATATGGGCCCCAGTTCATGACCTCCCTGCTCCTCTTCTGATCCAGATTCCTACTAGTGGCCTGGGAAAGGCAGGAGAAGATATCTCAAGTGCTTGGGCCCCTACCACCCATGTGGGAGATGTGGGAGATGTGGAAGAAGCCCCTGACTTCTGGGAGACCTAGAAGAAGCTGCTGGCTCTGGGCTTTTGTTGCCATCTGCGGTGTGAATCAGTGAATGGAAATTCTCTCTCTCTCTCTCTCTCTCCTCTCTTTGTCTCTCCCTCTCCCTCTCTGTAGCACTGCTTTTAAAATAAATAGATAACAAATCTTAAAAAAAAAGTACATTGACACACTTCAAGTAATGATGGTGGATGGATTTTTTTCTGGAAAAGGATGTGAATAGAGTAGTGATTGAAAATAGTTTCAATTTGTTTATTAAACAATGAATATAAAATCAATGTAGAATTATACAAGTTAAGATTGAAGATCCTAAGAGATAATGTATGTGGACAATTGCAATGAGATGAGATGGATAGATTAGGACTCACATATTTCACTTTAAAAAAATCATAGTATTTCAGGGACTAAAAGTAACATAAACTTCTATGCTATAAGTTTTAAGTAGCTATTTAAGAATGATTATATTGCTTTATTTATTTTCCTGTATAATGTCCTTGACCAACTTAGAACATTGCAAACCACATGACAATATTGCCTATTTCTGTACCAACTTCAAAAGGAGCTTGAGTTATAAAATAATTATGGCCTTCTAAATATAAGAAAATCTTAAAAATTCTTAAGCACATGTTAAGCTGCTTTCTGGGTCAAAGCAACAATACAGACGCAGCAAAGAACTACAAATTATTTTACATGAGATATTAGTGAGAATGGATTTAGGGTAATGTTTCGGGAGGCCCACCGCTGTGTGGATTAGAATAACCCCGAGAATTTATAAAAGTTCGGAATCTAGGGCTTTTCCCCCTATCTGCAAATCAGAACCTCAGGGGCACAGCCAGGGAATGTCCGCTTTAAAAAAAATTCCACGAGCGTGTGCGGACGCTGTGCCGCTGCGCGCTCGCTTTGCCTCGCGCAAGGTGTGACGGGAAGGATCCTTCTAGATTGCGCACTTTTCGTTTCTGCCATGTCGAGACGGGCAGTGATTCGTGGCCCGCTGGGGAATGATTGTCGCATCTATGTGGGCAACTTACCTCCAGACATTGGAACGAGGGAAGTGAAGGACATGTTTTACAAATACGGAACCGTCCGAGATGTCGACCTTAAAAATCGTCGCTGGGGACGGCCCTTCGCCTTCGTTGAGTTCAACAGCCCACGGTGAGATGGCACGGCGGGTCTTGGGGACTGTTGGAGTAGTTGGGAAAGACTCCAAGGCATTAAAAGAGAATGGCGGCGGCCGGGGGGGGGGGGGGTGTTGGGGGTTGGAGACAGGAAATCGCCTTGCAGGAGCCCAGTGAGGAACCCGGCTCGGGGGGCCTTCTCTGGTGCCTGGGCCTTCCCAGAATCCCCCTCTGAGGCCAGAGGGAGACACTGAAGAGCTAAGGGCTGGGGTAGGGTCGGGAGCCTGGCGTGTCGTTGCGGGGTGGGGGGTGGTGGTGGTGGGGGACCGGGCTCGTATTAGCGCCTGGCGGCGCCTCCACTTTGGGTGCGCATGTGCAGAGTCCGCTGGTGGCCGGCTGAGCTGGGGTCTCTTGGTGGCCGCTCCTCCCTTCAGTCTTGCTTTCTGTGATCCCGCAGAGACGCGCACAACGCGGTGCACGGTCGCGACGGCTATGATTACGAAGGGTACCGCCTGCGCGTGGAGTTTCCTCGAAACTACCGTGCTATATATGGAGGTGGCAGAGGCCTCCTAGAAACCCGTGGCACGTCATCCCGGCGGTCTGACAACAGAGTGCTTGTCTCCGGACTCCCGCCAAGTGGAAGCTGGCAGGATTTAAAGGATCATATGCGGGAGGCAGGCTATGTTTGTTATGCCGCGGTTCGCCGAGATGGGTCAGGTGTCGTGGAGTTTGTATGGAAAGAAGATATGAGCTATGCGGTGCGCAAGCTAAATAACACTAAATTTAGATCTCACAAGGGAGAAACGGCCTACATCCGGGTTAGAATTGATGAGGCCAGAAGCCCGAATTGTGGAAGATACTCCCCTCGTAGCCATAGTCGCAGCCGAAGTCGCAGACGTAGCAGAAGCCGCAGAGGCCGCAGTCCCAGCAGAAACGGCCGACATAGCAGAAGCCTCAGAAGCCATAGTTATAGCCGAAGCCCCAGAAGGCGCAGTTGGAGCAGAAGCCGCCGTGGTAGCAGGGGCCACAGCCGCAGCAGAGGCCGCAGTCCCAGCAGAAGCCGCGATGGTGGCAGAGGCCGTGGCCGCAGCCGCAGTCGCAGTCACAGTCGCAGCGGCAGTGGCAGCCGAAGCCGCAGCCGCAGCCGCAGCGGCAGCCTCGATGGTAGCAGAGGCCGCAGCCGCAGCCGCAGTTGCAGCCGCAGCGGCAGCCTCGATGGTAGCAGAGGCCGCAGCCCCAGCAGAAGCCGCGATGGCAGCAGAGGCCGCAGCCCCAGTAGAAGCCGCCGGGGTAGCAGAGGCCGCAGCCCCAGCAGAGGCCGCAGCCCCAACAGAAGCCGCGATGGCAGCAGGGGCCGCAGCCGCCGCCGCAGCCACCGCCGCCATGGTATCAGAGGCCGCAGCCTCAGCAGAAGCCGCAGTCATAGCAGAAGCCTTAACCCTAGTAAAAGCCGTAGTCGTAGTAGAAGCTTCAACAGAAGCAATGGCAGGAGTCGCAGCTACTCGCCAAGGCGAAAGAGAGGCTCACCATACTTTTCTCTCTGTTATAACAGATGTTGCCCTCGGACATAAGATGATGGGTGGCCCTTTTGTTGTGTATAGTCTTCCTTTACTCTATATCATCTTATTTTTTAATTCAGACGGTTTTGTTGAGAGTGGGCTACTGTGTTGGCGTTCATTTGTGGCTTACAGCCCCCTACATTCTCCTGTCTTTGACAAATTGTATTTTAAGTGATGTCATAGACAAGATTGTGTAAATTTAGTTATTTCTCCATGCTCTTCAGACTGAGATATTGTGTAAATGGCCTCCTGCTCTGCTTTGTGTAAACTGGGGTGTTGGGAGGTGTTTGTGGTCATCTTACCTGAGGAAGTATAGCTTGCTTTTCATGTGTCTGTCTGTAAACGTATCTGAAGACATGGATTAAGAATGGTTTGGATTAAGGATTGTGGAGCACATCTCAGTCATTCTAGGATTACCAGAAGGAGGATGGAGGAGGATCAGATCAATAATGGAGACAATGGTATGACTTCAAGTGTGCTATTGTTGCAGATCAAATTGGCAGTATTGGTCTTATGCTGAAAGACAAGGATTAAAATGACATAATATTTTATATATATAGAATCTACACTACAGCACTTATAAGCACGCATTTATCTTTAGCTACAATTTGCCTTGCTCCTTAAATCTTGACAATTATGGCAAAATTACATTGCTTATTTCATAATAATTTACTTTGCTCCTTTCCCCTCCTTTTTAACACAGGAAGAATTGGCTAATGTGTTATAGTGCTTAGTTGCAACTGTTATCTGTGACCTGCTGTTGGTGTATGTGTGGGTATAGGATGTCTAATTCTGATGAGATAGAGTATAATATCAGTACTGCTAAATCTGAATGTCCTCTCTGTAACTGATAGAAAATTACTAGTTCATTTTTAAAAGATGACACCAGATTATATAAGTCCAGCATATTGATGCAGATAATCTAGTTGGGAATACATTTAAGTCTCACCTTCCCCTTTAAACTAGTATTCAGAATTAACTCATGTTTGGAATGCTTTACCTTACAAATTAAATAACAGATGGAGCATCAAATTTAGTTTAGATTTGGTGTGTAGCAATATCAGTGAATTTTTCAACTACATAACTCTTTCTGCAACCACAAAACCTGTAATGAGCTGTGAAGTAATGAATATTAGCATTATCGGTTGAACTGTAAATATAAAATGCTTCTTCCAATTAGTCTCTAAGGTGATTACGTTTTTAAAATTTATCTGAACACCATTAAGAACTTCTTTTGGGGAATCTGATAGTTATTGATATATTTCTATTAAACTGATGACAGACATAGCATCCTTCCCTGGGAAACTTTTTTATTGCAGTATCTAAATTTTTGCCTCCTCCTTTTTGGTTTTGCTGGTTATAAAGGTTTGGATTGCAGAGGACTCACTGGATCATAATACTTGGAACTGGATCATTGGATTCAGATCATAATGTGGATAGGATAGGAAGGATGATTTACAAGGATTCCTGGAGCAGGATCAGATTACCAGGAACATAGCAGTGGATTGCTGCCACGTACAAACCACATTCATGTAGATTTTTAAATTCCACTTAATTGGCTGTTACAAAGATTTCATTTTCTTGTTTTTGAGGATTGGAGCCCTTCAGATGCGTACTGGAATTCTGGTTTGCATGTCTTAGTAAAAGATAGCAAAGCAAAGACCTGGAGATATGTGCTGGAGCAGTCTCTGTAAGAGAGAATTCAGCATGAGTAAATACTAAACATTTAAAATGGAAAAGGGAAGGTTGTTCAAAATAGTAAATCAAAGTAACTTATGTATGTAAAGAAAACTTTTAAAATTGGAGTTGAAAAATAATTAGGTTTCCAATTGACTATGGTCATTTTTCTTTGCAAAAAAAGTTTAAAAAAAGAATTCAAAGAAAAACATTAAAATATGAGAATTGGGATCTTTGGCTCTTGTCCAAATTTTCCCTACCTAGTCGAAGCTCTTTTCAGTCTGTGCTGCACAGAACTTCCGTATAATATTAACAGTGAGTACAGTCTGCATTTGAAAACAGATTTAAAAAGATGTTGGACTGCCTTGCATTAACCGCTATAAAAAGATTTCTTAGCTAATTGACACTTGATTGATAATCAAAAGACTTAAACCAGGAGGCAGGCATCCTGACACAGCAGGTTATACCAGTGCTTGGGACACGCAAATCCCATATTGGAGGGTTTAGTCCCAACTAGTCTTCAGGTTGAATTTCTGGCTAATGCGCCAGGGAGGCATCAGATGAATGCTAGGGGACTTGAATCGCTGCCATGCACATGAGAGACCTTGATGGAGTTCTGGACTCCTGGCCTCAGCCTGAGATAGATTCAGTTGTTGTGATCTCGATCTCTCTCTCTCTCCCTCTCTCCTTTCTCCTCTCCCTTTCACATAGATGAAAACAAATAAGCTCCAAATTGGTTTTTATTAAAGTAAGCTTATAGTGTACATTACCAAATGATCTACCTTTCTGAATTTCTATAGATTGTCCTTTTTGATATCTTCCGAATTTAGTATAACATCAAATTTAGTATGAGTTTAGGGGATGTTAAATAATTACTGTATCTGTTAGCAAATATTTTTAAAGATACCAAATGATGTGAGTAAAGTTTTATTTTGGGTGAATAGAATTGGGAGTGACATTTTCTTTTGGACAACTTTTTGTAATCTTTTACTCTTGTGCAAACATTTATCATTTTTGCAAAAAACAATTTAATTTTCATTGTACACAGAAAATACATCTAGTAGTCAAACACTATTCTTACTAATTTTGGTGGTGGTTCTAATGTAAGTGATTTTTTTTCAAAAAGTGTTAAAGTTTGAGTCAATAAAAAATATCAACCAAAATTCCCTTGTGTTGAAGTAGCTTTCTTTATATGCTACATAAAAATACAGTATGGGATATTTTCATTATATGTTAATTATTCCTAATTTTGGGCATCTTAAATTCAATATTGTTAGCATTCTCTTGGGAGATTTCCAGCATTCTGTCCTCAAAGGTGAGTTTTTAGGAATTATCTAACATTTCATCCCATGAAAAAAAAGTGATAATTATACTGTATTCACATAGTTTTCCTCTAAACAGCATAATACTTACACAGACTTTTTACCTATTTAAATTTTATATTCTGCAAACTAGAAGTAAGTTCATATTGTACCTCTTTTACAGTTCTTCCAAAACGACACAACACAGTTCATACAGAAATTCACTAGCAGAGTTGAATAATAAAATCTGAGTCTCTTGAGTCCCAGTTTATTACTATGTGTGGTATATAAGCTTTTCATTGTGTACTGATTTTACTGATTTTTTTACATCGAGATACATTTTCCCAAATGAAAAAAAAAATGCATTACACAAGGGAATCAAATATCTAGGTGAACAAATTCCATCAAATCCTTGCAACTCCATCCTCCATTACTAAATAGCTTTTCATATTTGTGACAGATGTTGTTGTTGCTCACAATTATATTTTCCTTACCTCTTTGGAAATTGAATTCGTTTTCAGATGTACCCTGTCTACACTCTAAGAAGGTAAATACTTCCCTTTCTCTTTACGTTAATGTTAATTAAAAGTTTAAAACAATCATGGCATTCTCATTCCTGTGATTAATGATTTGTTGAGATTGTGACATGTATAATTGTGGCCAAAGAGATCGAAGGGCAGGTTGGCTAAGGCACTTAAAATGACTACAACAGCCATCCCATGACCATGAAAAGCTGTTCAAAAGCCATATTATATTTGAGACTAAATGAACCAACCCTGAAAATGCACACTCTCCAGGTGAGACAATGTATATTTTTATCATTTGAATCATTTAATTTGGGTGTTTTGTTTCTTATTCAATAACATTCAGACTGGTAAAATACCTAAAATCTGCTTAGTATGTGTACATATCCGAATCTGTATTGACTCCAACATCAGTACTTTTTGCACATTAAAGCCTTTGTTCAGGTTATGTTTAGATGATCACTGCATCTTATTTTCATGATTGCCAACTTGTATCAGCACCCTTATAAAATAATTTCAAGTAATACAGATGTTGAATTTATTGAAGGTGTTAATTTTTTAGTTACCTCTGATGACTCAATTTATAACAGAAAAGATAATGTGTGTGGGTTTAAAAGTGCTCTATCGTCCTATTCTTGGTTTAATTAATTTATTTATATTAATATATATGACTCAGACTGTATCACTAGTTATCTCAAGAAAATCCTGTAATCATGCTTTTTCTTTTCAGATATTTATTTCCATAGAATCACAGTGTTTTTGAGTTAGAATTTTTAAAAGGATGAATATTGGTGCCAATATGTTTGTGTTGATGATTATTTTATCACAAAGGAACTTTGTTTTATATATTGTTCTGCAGTTTGCTTTTATAATTGGCAGCATGTCTTGGTCATCTCTCCACAGATACACATGGAAGTATCCTTTATTCTTTTCAAAGGCTCTGTAGTATTCTGCTATCTAGCTGTACTTTATTATTCATATTTTATGTTATTACTGTTTGTTTCTTTGTTGTAACACTGTCCCTGTTGTCAAGCAGTTTGTTTCCAAATGCTCGCTCTTGAAAATGATGGAGTAATTAATATTTTGCCAACTTCCATTTATTCCAAGTGGTGAGGAGTTCTGAGTTCAAAGGGCCAACATTTATGCTAGCCATAGCCACATTGTTCTGTAAATCTGTTTGGAAAATTCCCATTTGCTCATATTCTCACCAAAAAAACCACAAGAGTAAATTTGTTTTATTTTTCTGTCAAAATGATGAGTACAAAAAAAATCTCTATTTTACCTTGCTTTTTTTTTTCTTTGTTATTGGTGGTTATGTGCCTATAATGTGTATAGGTCATTTGTAGGTTTTTCTTTTTTTGGTGTGTGGATTTTCTATTAGTTTCACTTGTCTTCTTCTTCTTTTTTTTTTTTTTTTTTTTTTTTTTTGCTTACTTATTTTGTTCTTCTGCAATTACTTTCGTATTATGGGTACCAATGAATGACAGATCCATAAAAATAGTAGATATCATGAATATGTACTAGATAGGAACAAAATCGAAAAATACTTCTACAAATAAGTTCTATAGAGTAATTTCAATTAATGGAGTCCTACATAGTTTTGGATAAAACAGTGGATTGCAACAATTCTTCAGAAAATCTCCTAAGTGCTAAGTAATTATTTCATTATTAACAACCACACTTTCTTGGATATTTTCATGAAACTAGAATAAAACATTTTGCATGCTGTGAAAAACACCTTGGCACCAAAGAGTGTTTTCTGTAATATATCTATTCACGGATTTCAGGATTGTGTTTGCACCAAAATAAACTCATACTTTTCATTCCATTATTTCCACAAGCATTTTGAAGTACACTCATAGACCACTAACAAACATTTGAAAATTTGAATTTAATGAAAGGCTATTAGTACATTAGAATAATGTATGACTGATTGATAAGGAATTATTATCTTTTTTATGGTTTGGTAAACTATCTCCTGAGAACTAGTCAACTAACTGCATAAATAAAGTATTATTGAAACACAAGCATGCCCACTCATTCCTGTATTGTCTATGACTACTTTCCCAATACAAAGTATTGAGACATTGTTACAAGGCTGAAGGTATTTATTATCTGACAAGTTAAAAAAATTACTGGGGCCAGCATTGTGGTGCAGTGGGTTAAGCCACCACCTAGAATGCCAACATCCCATTTGAGTGCCTGATGAGGTAATGGCTGCCCCACTTCTGATCCAGCTCCCTGCTAACATGCCTGAGAAAGCAACAGAAGATGGCCCAAGTTCTTGGGCCCCTGCCTCAGGGGTTGGAGACTCAGTCCAACCCAGTCCCGGCCTTTGCAGCCATTTGGAGAGCGAACCAGCAGATAGAAGATCTCTCTCTGTCTCTCCATCTAACTATGTAACTCTGCCTTTCAAATAAATAAATGAATCTTAAAAAAAATAAGAAATTACTGATTGTTACCTTATATTTAAAAATGTATAATGGGTTTTCAAAGGTATTAAGCATCACTACAAAATCTATTACTATTTATATCTGAAATACCATTCTTTTACTGTCTGAAACTAGAATGATGCAGGTATCCTGGAAGAACTGAAAAAACTGACAAAGCATGTTTAGAATTAAGCCATCAACAAAGTAACATTCACTGAATAGAGGCAAACTGCTCTTGGTAATAGCACTTTCTCTTTTCTCTCATCCTTTTCTTCTCTCTGTCTCTCATCTTTCTATCTGCCTCAGTTTGATTTTTCAGGTAATTTTAGCTTCCTATCTCCAGACAGAATTCAGCCTGCAGCATTTTACCTTACAGTATGGGGATCAACTTTCCTGTTGTAGTTTACTGCAGGGAAGGAAAAACAGCAGGACTTCCTGTGATAATGCAAACAAAGCAGTAAGATAGAAGCTAGGTTTTTAGTGTATACAATGGAATAAAGTAGTTTTCATTTGTAAGAACCGTGAAGTTTTCTAACTACAATGCAAGATCACTTATATTAAAGAAGAAAGAAAAAGACTATCTGTTGGAATCAGAAGCTTGCTGCAGAACACAAAAGCTTCAAAGTGCAAAGATTTTCAGTAGAAAATAAATACCCAATGATTAAAAACAGTGATGATATACAGCTATAGGAGTAGAGCTAGAGGTTGTGCAGTGATACGTGTTAGTGTAAATTGGTATAAAATCCAAATACTCCTTCAGATTTCAATATTAGTTCTGTCTGAAGTTCCAAGTGGTTTTCTATTTTTGTAAGCTGTAGATTTTGGTCAAGACTTGATAAATTTTTTGGCCTACTTTACCTTTCAGCATTTTCTGGAAGATTTTGTGAAACTTCAGGATTTAAATGCATAGATCGAATCACAAGAACCAGCACAATTACTGGGCTGTTGTCTGAGAGGCTACATGCTCTCATTATTTGTATGTATATTACAAACAATTTCAGAGTCATGGCTTACACAGCAGAAGGATCAGAAAAAAGGGGAATTTAAATTTGAGTGGTGTCTTGGACCCTGAGAAAGACACGAATTATGCTTAGACAATATTTGTATGATTTCCTCATATTTTAACTTAACCTGGTGCCCTTACTTGCTTTGCTATTGCACACATCTCCTGGAAAAGTTGCCCCAGTTGTACTCTAGAGTTTGCACTCCACTCAATAATCTTCATGCATCTAGTAACCGAGAAAACAAATGTTTACCCCTGTGCTAATGCTTTTTCTTATCTTACTGTGTATTATAATTTGAACATAGAACTTACTTGATGCCTTAACTTCATTTTTGCAGGCACACCTAAGAAAATGACAAATAAATAAGACAGCTTAAAAAAGGAAAAATAACGAAATTAAGGAAAGGCAATTTAAAAATAAACACTGGAATTTCCCTATGATTCCAACTTTCCAGTCAAGTCTGCCTTATTTGCTGAGTAAAGACAGAATTGCTTCTGGGAGAATCATGAAGTGAGAGCCTACTGGTTAATGTGTACAGAAGCACTGATTTGGACCCATTCCTGTCTCCTCGGAGACATTGATCTAGTAATTATCCTCTTCTTCTCTTGCACCTTTAATTACTCTCTCCTCATTGATTCCTTTCTTTTGCCACAAGCATGCTCGTGCTTTCTCATCTTAATGTTTTAAAATCATCTCCTTAACACCAGTGCCTGCTTAAGCTACTACCTCCCCCTCTTCACTGCAATACATTTTAGGAGAGAAATTTGCACTCACTTTTACAACTCTCACTACTGAATGTGTTTTCTGTATACCTAAACAAACCATTCAATCCTCCCCCACCCCCTTTTTAAATGTATTCACTCTCACTGAGCTCTCTGTCACCTTTGCT